GAATGAATGATTTATGGAATGAGATTCAAACTAGAGTGAATGACATTCTCTGAGATTCCTTTGAGTAACTGTGAGAATAACTAGAGCTTCATCTCTTGCCAGTCCCTTTTATTTCTCAGAGCTGCACTAGGTGGTAGGACATACTTAAGACACATAAGCATCTAGTTTGGTTCTTAATTACCCTCCCGTTTTTGTTGTTGTTGTTATTGTTGTTGTTTTTGACAGGTTCTGGCTTTGTCCCAAGCTGGAGCGCAGTGGTGCAATCTCAGCTGGCTGCAGTCTTCACCTCTGGGCTCAAGCCATCCTCCTACCTCAGCCTCCCAAGTAGCTGAGACTGCAGGCACATACCACCATGCCCAGCTAATTTTTGTATTTTTTGTCAAAAAAAAACCCATAAAAATTAAAAGTAATTAATTAAATGTTTGAACCTAGGTATTTGCATAACGTTCTTCATTGTCTTTTTTTGTCTCTGTTTCTCTTCCAGTTTAAGAAAACTCCTCCTAAGATCCCTTACAAGGCTATCGCACTTGCCACTGTGCTGTTTTTGATCGGCGCCTTTCTCATTATTATAGGCTCCCTCCTGCTGTCAGGCTACATCAGCAAAGGGGTAAGCTGACGGGCATGTGGGAATAAGCTATGAGATTTAAAAAATGTTAGCCAAGGCTCTTGTGTGTGTGTGTGTGTGTGTGTGTGTGTGTGTGTGTGTGTTTCCCAGTGGTCTGTTTTTTTTGAGACAGGATCTTGCTCTGTCATCCAAGTTAGAGTGCAGTGGCACAACCTTTACCTCCCTGGGCTCAAGTGATCCTCCCACCTCAGCCTCCCAAGTAGCTGGAACTACACGTGTGTGCCACCAAGCCCAGCTAATTATATTTTTTATTTATTTTTGTTTGTTTTATTTTTTGCAGAGGCAGGATTTCACTATGTTGCCCAGGCTGATCTCTAATTCCTGAGCTCAAGCAGTCTGCCTGCCTCAACCTTCCAAAGTGCTGGGATTGCCAGTGTGAACCATTGCACCTGGCCAATTTTTTTTTTTTTTTCAATTTTTTTTTCAATTTTTACGGGGACGTAGTAGGTATATATACTTAGGGGATACATGAGATATTTTGATACAGTCATGCATTCATAATAATCACATCAGGCTAAATGGGGTATCCTTCACCTCAAGCATTCATCATTTGTGTTACATTCCAATTATACTTTTATTTATTTATGTATGTATTTGTTTATTTATGTATTTATTTTTGAGACAGAATCTCACTCTGTCTTCCAGGCTGGAGTGCAGTGGCATGATATCAGCTAACTGCAACCTCTGCCTCCCAGGTTCAAGCTATTCTTGTGCGTCAGCCTCTCGAGTAACTGAAATTACAGACGTGCGGCACCACACCCGGCTAATGTTGGTATTTTTAGTAGAGACAGGGTTTCGCCATGTTGACCAGGCTGGTCTCGTACTCCTGGCCTCCCAAAGTGTTGGGATTACAGGCATGAACCACTGCGCCTGGCTTACTTTTAGTTATATATACATACATATATATATATATATATATATGTGGTTTTTTTTGGTTTTGTTTTGTTTTGTTTTGTTTTGTTTTGTTTTGTTTTTTGGAGACAGAGTCTTGTTCTGTCACCCAGGCTGGAGTGCAGTGGTACAATCTCAGCTCACTGCAACCTCCGCCTCCTGGGTTCAAGTGATTCTGCTGCCTCAGCCTCCTGAGTAGCTGAGACTACAGTGGCAAACCAGCACGGCTGACCTATTTTTGTATTTTTAGTAAAGACGGGTTTTTGCCATGTTGGCCAGGCTGGTCACGAACTCCTGACCTCAAGTGGTCTGCCCGCCTGGGCCTCCTAAAGTGCTGGGATTACAGGCGTGAGCCACCACGTCCAGCCTTAGTTATTATATTTTTAAATGTACAATAAATTATTCTCTAGTCATTTTGTGCTATCAAATCCTAGAGCTTATTCATTCTATGTAACTATGTTTTTGTACCCGTTAACCATCCCCATTTCCCCCCACCTTTCCCAGCCTTCGGTAACCATCATTCTGCAATATCCATGAGTTCAAGTTGTTTTAATTTTTAGTTCCCACAAATGAGTGAGAACTTGGAAAGTTTGTTTTTCTGTGCCTGGCTTATTTCACTTAACATAACGTCCTCCAGTTTCATCCATGTTGTTGCAAGTGACAGGATCTCATGCTTTTTTGTGGCTGAATAGTACTCCATTGTATATATGTACCACATTTTCTTTATTCATTTGTCTGTTGAAGAACACTTTGGTTGCTTCCAAATTTTGGCTGTTGTTAATAGTGCTGCCATAAATATGGAAGTGCAGATATCTCTTTGACAGACTGATTTCCATTCTTTTGGGTATATACCTAGCTGTGAGATTGCTGGATCATATGGTAGGTCTATTTCATACTGTTCTCCGTAGTGGCTATACTAATTTACGTTCCCATCAACATTGTACGAGGGTTCCCTTTTCTCCACATCCTTGCTATCATTTGTTATTGCCTGTTTTTTTGGATAAAAGCCATTTTGGCTGGGTGCAGTGGCTCACACCTGTAGTCCCAGCACTTTTGGAGGCCGAGGCAGGAGGATCACTTGAGCCCAGGAGTTCGAGACCAGCCTGGGCAACATAGTGAGACCTCGTGTCTATATTTTTTAAAAAGCCATTTTAACTGGGATGAAATGATACCTCATTGTAGTCTTGATTTGTATTTCTTTGATCAGTGATGTTAAGCACCTTTTCTTATACCTATTTGCCATTTGTATGCCTTCTTTTGAGAAATGCCCATTTTTGACTGAATTATTAGATTTTTTTTCCTATAGAGTTTGAGCTCGTTATATATTCTGGTTATTAATTCCTTGTCAGATGGATACTTTGCATATATTTTTTTCCATTCTGTGGGTTGTCTCTTCACTTTGTTGATTGTTTCCTTTGCTGTACAGAAGCTTTTTAACCAGATGTGATCTCATTTATCTGTTTTTGCTTTGATGGCCTGTGCTTTTGGGGGCATTATTCAAGAAATCTTTGCCCAGTCCAGCATCCTGGAGAGTTTCCCCCATGTTTTCTTGTAGTAGTTTCATAGTTTTAGGTCTTACATTTAAGTGTTTAATCCATTTTCATTTGATTTTTGTATATGGTAGGAGATTTGAGGGGTCTAGTTTCATTCTTCAGCATATGGATATCCAGTTTTCCTAATACCATTTATTGAAAAGACTGGTTCTTTCCCTAGTGTATGTTTTTTTTTTTTTTAGAGAGAGTCTCACTCTGTCATCCAGGCTGGAGTGCAGTGGCACCATCTTGGCTCACTGCAACCTCAGCCTCCCAAGTAACTGGGACTACAAGCAGGTGCCACCACACTTGGTTAATTTTTTTTTTTCATTTTTTATATAGACGAGGTTTTGCCATGTTGCCTAGGCTGATCTCAAACTCCTAGACTCAAGCAGTCCAGGAGTACAGTGGTGTGATCACAGCTCTCTGCAACCTCAATCTTCTGGGCTCAATCGATCCTCCCAGCTCAGCTTCACAAGTAGCTGGAGTTACAGGTGTGAGTCATCATAGCCAGCTAATTTTTTTGTTTGTTTGTTAGAGATGAGATCTCATTCATTATGTTGCCCAGGCTGGTCTTGAACTCCTAGGCTCAAGCAATCCTCCTGCCTCAGCCTCCCAAAGTGCTGGAATTACAGGCTTGAGCCACTGCACCCCTATGGCTATGTTCCCCGTTGTGTGTTAATTATGGTCAGTGTGAGGCCCACCCTAGCCTCCCAAAGTACTGGGATTACAGGCGTGAGCCACTGCACCCGTTGAATGTAGAATTTTATCAAATGCTTTTCTAGCATTGATTGAAATAATCATATGGTTTTTGTCCTTTATTCTGCTGATATGATTTTATCACATTGATTGATTTGTATAAGTTGAACCATCCTTGCATTTCTGGGATAAATCCCACTTGGTCCTGATGAATAATCTTTTTAATGTATTGTTGAATTTGGTTTGCTAGTATTATCCTCCTTATTGAGGATTTTTGCATCAATGTTCATCAGGGATATTGGCCTATTTTTCTTTTTTCGACGTGTCTTTGCCTGGTTTTGGTATCGGTAAAACTGGCCTCATAGAATGAGTTTGGAAGTATTCTCTCCATGTCTGTTTCTGTTTCAGAATAGTTTCAGTAGGATTAGTATTCTTTTTTTTTTTTTTTTTTTTTTTTTTGAGACAGGGTCTCATTCTGTCACCCAGGCATAGTGCAGTGGTGTGAGCTCAGCTCACTGCAACCTTTGCCTCCCAGGCTTATGTGATCCTGCCACCTCGCTAGCAACTGGGATCACAGGCGTGTACCACCATGCCCGTCTAATTTTTGTGTTGTTTTTCAAGATGGGGTTTTACCATGTTGACCAGGCTGGTCTTGAAATCCTGAGCTCAAGCGATCTGCCTGCCTAGGCCCCCCAAAGTGCTGGGATTACTGGAATAAGCCACCATGCCCAGCCAAGTATTAATTCTTTAACTGGTATAATTCAGCAGTGAAACTATCAAGTCCCAGGCTTCTCTTTGCTAGGAGACTTTTTATTACGGCCTCAATCTCATTACTCTTTGTTTGTCTATTCGGATTTTAGGTTTTTTTTCCTGGTTGAATCTTTGTTTTTATATTCATGTCTAGTACAGCAGATTCCAGCAGAAAGAACAAAAAGATTTTCTTTTGCATTTTGTTCTCTGTTGGCAAAATATGTTTTTCTTCCTTTGAGCAACAGTAAACTTCCATAGTTCCTATAAGGGAGGTGGTAGCAGGTAGACAAACTTGGTCTCTGAGATATTAGACAGTTTGCCCTGTAATAGTTTGGAACAACATGGCTGAGCCTGGCATGCAAGGGTCCTGATTGGTAAAGGGCTGTAGCTGGAGCAGCATGCTGTCATTGTAGCTGTGCAGTGCCATGGACGTACCGTCAGTGTTTGGAGAGAAATAGCAATTCTGTTATATGTGTGGGGTTACTGTGCCTCATAAGTCAGTTCCTTCTTACATTATGTTTGGATGGCGTTCCTGTTGAGCTTCAATATGAAATCTTAGAAACCTAAAGTAGTTGGTGGTTCTTTCTCATGGGCTGTCCCCACATACACAGTGTCTAAGTTGTCTTGAACCAATTCTGACTATAATTAACACACAACAGGGAACACAGCCAGCCAGGTGCAGTGGCTCAAGCCTATAATTCCAGCATTTTGGGAGACTGAGGCAGGAGGATTTCTTGAGCCCCCGAGTTCAAGACCAGCCTGGGCAACATAGTGAGACCTCATCTCTACCAAACAAACAAACATACAAAATTAGCCAGGTATGGTGACTCACACCTGTAACCCCAGCTACTTGGAGGCTGAGGTGGAGGATCACTTGAGCCTTGGAAGTTGAGGTTGCAGTGAGCTGTAATCACGCCATTGTAATTCAGCCTGAGCAATAGAGCAAGACTCTTACCTCAAAAAAAAAAAAAAAAGAAAAAAGGAAAAAAACCCTGAAATTCTGAGAAAAACACAGAGTTTATTGTAGTGGTAGCTGTACAATTACAAAAGGTGAAAAACAACCAAAGTGTCCAGCAGTTGTATGTGGGGCAGTTAAGTAAAACTGTGGCATGTCCATTTCAGTGGAATGTTACACATCCTTACAGTTTAAATATATGAAGAAGTTTTAATAATATTGGCCACAGGACACAGAGTATGTTGTGTTCACAACTAAGAGCTTTAAAAAAAGGAAAAGAAGCTAAAATATCTGGATGAGAATGGGTCATTTTTTTCTTTATAATTGTTAGTACTTTGTAGTTTTTCTTCAATTTATAGTCAGGAGGAAACCTTTTCCCTCGGTAGTATACAACTCAAAGAAAATGTACTGAAGAGTATAAAATACTGATCTAAGGATTAGGTATGAGACTTTTTATTTTAAAATGTGTAACTCTTACGATACTAATGTGTTTGCCTCCTTCTGCCACCAGGGGGCAGACCGGGCCGTTCCAGTCCTGATCATTGGCATTCTGGTGTTCCTACCGGGTTTTTACCACCTGCGCATCGCTTACTACGCATCCAAAGGCTACCGTGGTTACTCCTATGATGACATTCCAGACTTTGATGACTAGCACCCACCTAATAGCTGAGGAGAAGAGTCACAGTGGAACTGTCCCAGCTTTAAGATACCTAGCAGAAACTATAGCTAAGGACTAAGGAATTCTGCTTGCAGATGTTTAAGAAAATAATGGCCAGATTTTATGGGTCCTTCCCAAAGATGTTAACTGAACCTACAGTAGCTAATTAGGACATGCTCTGTTTTCATCCCTTGGCCCTGGCAAGAGCTCCTGACAAGTTTTTCCACAGGAATATGTATCATGGAAGAATAGAGTTATTCTGTAATGGAAAAGTGTTGCCTGCCACCACCCTCTGTAGAGCTGAGCATTTCTTTTAAATAGTCTTCATTGCCAATTTCCTCTTGTAGCAAATGGAAGAATGTAGTATGGCTAATTTCTTATTACTAAGTAATTTATTTTAAAAATATCTGAGTATATTATCCTCTACACTTATCCCTACCTTCATGTTCCAGTGGAAGGCCTTAGTAAAATCAAAGATCGGTGAGTTCATCTGTAATGTTTTTTTTACTTGCTTTCTTATTGACAGCAACCAGGAATTTTTTTTTTCCTGCGGAGCAAGTTTTCAAAATGTAAATACTTTCTCTGTTTAACAGTCCTTGGCCCATTCTGATCCAGTTCACCAGTAGATTGGACAGCATACAATTTGGATCATTTTGTCCCTTGTAAATCAAAATGTTCTGTAGATTATTCCTTTAATGGCTGGACTTTTGGCTGTTTCCTAATGAAACATGTAGATAAGTGGTTATTATTTCGAGTTTATAACCCTATTGCTAGCACCTTGTATGATGTCATCATTCTGCTCATGATTCCAAGGATCAGCCTGGATGCCTAGAGGACTAGATCACCTTAGTTTGATTCTATTTTTTAGCTTGCAAAAGGTGACTTATATTCCAAAGAAATTAAAACGTTGAAATCCAAATCCTGGAATTAAAATGAGTTAACTTTAAACATTTCAGAAAACATTTTAATGATTTTATGATATCTTTAATCCCAGTACCCAGATCTACCTTAGTTTGTAGGTAGCTGGCATTATGGGTCACACTCTACTTTCCCTAACTCTGAGGTGTGGACTTGGGCAGCTAGAAGCATGGACATGCCATCAGCTGAGTTGGAAGGCTATGGGAAGAGCAAGTGTTAGATGTCTACTCAATATCCAAGTGGAGCTGTTGAGGAGGCAGTTGCGATGCATGTGTGTGTGTAGAGTTTAAGAGTGGGTCTTGGATGGAAATAGAAATTTGGGAGTCAGTATTTGGACAGTATCTTAAAAATCAGAGGGCTGTGTGAAATCACCAGTAGAGCGAGTGTAGTTGGAGGGGGAAAAAAAAAAAGACTCAGGAAATGAGGGACAAAGAAAGGGTGACGTGAAGCAGCCTCCAAGATTAGGCACTTTTGGTAATGGGAATGTTGACTGGGGAGTCCAGTAGTCTAGAGTTCCTGATCCTTGACAGTGAATATGTGAGGTGATATATAAAGCTTTATCTTGGGGAGTGGTTGCCAAGCAAAGCTCAGATCAGAAGGTTTTGACCAAACCAAATGATTTGGTTTATTTATTTATTTATTTATTTATTTATTTTTTGAGACAGAATCTCGCTCTGTCGCCCAGGCTGGAGTGCAGTAGCCGGCTCTCAGCTCACTGCAAGCTCTGCCTCCCGGGTTCACGCCATTCTCCTGCCTCAGCCTCCCGAGTAGCTGGGACTACAGGCACCCGCCACCTCCCCAGCTAGTTTTTTTGTATTTTTTAGTAGAGACAGGGTTTCACTGTGTTAGCCAGGATGGTCTCCATCTCCTGACCTTGTGATCCACCTGTCTCGGCCTCCCAAAGTGCTGGGATTACAGGCTTGAGCCACCGCACCTGGCCTATTTTTATTTTTATTTTTTTTAAACAGAGTCTTGCTCTACTGCCCAGGCTGGAGTGCAGTGGCAGTCATGGCTCGCTGCAGCCTTGAATTCCTGGGCTCAAGTGATCCCCGCACCTTGGCCTCCCAAAGTGTTGGGATTACAGGCATGAGCTACTGAGCCTGGCCTATTCGGTCCTTTTTTAAAAAGTTGATGCTGCTGATCAAAGAAAATAAACAGAGGGTATAAAGTGAAAAGTAAACATTTGGGCATGGAGTGGAGAGTGTGCATTCACTCCAGCTTACCTCTCAAGGTTTTCCAAATAAATTTCTTAATATACCCCTTCCTGAAATGCTCTAAGCACATATATACATACCTGGTTTTTAAAACTTGGTCTCCCATTGTATGGTTCTATAATTTTTCCCCCCCACTGATTCTATTTTGTGTATCTTTCCATATCCATGGAGATCAGTCATATTCTTGTTAATGCACATTATAAGTGTAGTTTTTCATCCTATGCATTTAGTAGTCATAGGATCAGAGCAGAAACCAACCAACTTCCTACCTGGGGTAGGAATCTCCTCTCCAGAGTTCCCTGAGGAATGGCCTTTGCTGCTCTATTTGAACATTCACACTTGTGATCTTATTCCAGCTGGCATTGTTACAGAAGTATCATTTATGAAGCCAAACTCAGACTCCTTGCAACTTGTATGCTTTTACCGTAGTTGTATTATTTGGTGTTTTATAGAAAAGACTTAAACCTCTACGGCCATACTACCCTGAATGCTCCCGACCTCATCTGATCTTGGAAGCTAAGCCGGGTCAGGCCTGGTTAGTAGTTGGATGGGAGAAAAGATCTAAACCTCCATAATAATGTTGAACATTTCTTGACCCCTTTGCCAGGTATTCTGCCAGATAGTTTCATTACATATCTCATTTTATTCCTTAGAAAAGTCCCAAGTTAGCCATGCACGGTGGCTCATGTCTGTAATCCCGCACTTTGGGAGCCCGAGGCGGGCGGATCACCTGAGGTTGGGAATTTGACCAGCCTCACCAACATGGAGAAACCCCGTCTCTACTAAAAATACAAAATTAGCTGGGCATGGTGATGCATGCCTGTAATCCCAGCTACTTGGGAGGCTGAGGCAGGAGAATCGCTTGAACCCGGCAGGCTGAGGTTGCAGTGAGCCAAGATCGCACCATTGTACTCCAGCCTGGGCAACAAGAGTGAAACTCCATCTCCAAAAAAAAATTCTGAGTTAGGTAAGATTCTTAGGTAGGAAGTAGGTGAGATATTTGGGATGAAAGTTAGTAGGCAAAGCCTGGGCCTGGCACGGTGGCTCACGCCTGTAATCCCAAAACTTTGGGAGGCCGAGGTGGGCGGGATCACTTGAGGTCAGGAGTTCAAGATCAGCGTGGCCTAAAAATACAAAAATTAGCTAGGTGTGGTGGCGGGCACCTATATCCCAGCTACTTAAGAGGCTGAGGCAGGAGAATCACTTGAACCTGGGAGGTGGAGGTTGCAATGAGCCAAGATCACACCACTGCACTCCAGATGGTGACACTCAGAGTGAGACTCCATCTCAAAAATATAATAATAAAAATTTTAAAAAGGCAAAGCCTGAATTCCCTTTACCAGATATGACAGCCAAATGCTTTTAGGTACTGGGCCAGTGAAGAAATGGGGGAGGTGGGTATGGACAGTAGAAGTAGTTGGGGGACCGTGGTCACTTGTCAGATGTATATTTTACCTGAAAGTAGCCTTCTCCCCACTCCAAAATGTTGGCCAGACCATATATCCTAACTTTTTTAAAGGATGTTCTTATTTGTAACAATTCTTATGCCTTCTGTTAGTCATTTCCAAGGCTAAAAACCCTCTCCAGTTGCTTCAGCTATTCTGCATGTGATGGAAATTTCAGATCCATTGCCACTCTGGTGGGTCTCTTGGTTAAGCTTCACGTGGTCATATACCAGAGGCACTTCTGTTCTGCCAGGAATTGTGAGGTGCTGGAGGTACAACAGGAACAAATAGGACTTGGGTAGTGAGGAACACAGGTTGCAAACCAGCAGCCACATGTTGGCCTGCATTTGAGGATTTATTTTTTGAATTGTTCCGTTTTATCTTCTGACCACCTGTCCCCAAGTTCTGCGCATTTTGTTTCTGAAAAGGGAAATGTTCACATGATCTTGATTTTGGACTTGAAAAATCAGGTAGTCCTTCATTGCTGAGAGGCTCCAGCCAACTCAAGTAAGGTAGTACAAGTTTTAGCTGAGCAGCATTCTCCAGTTCACCAAAGTTTCTACCACTCTTATTTTTATATCCAGCATGCTAATTTTCCTCACTAAGGACAAAGACTGTCTTAAACCCTCCCACAAATCCTAGCACAGTGCTTGTAGACACTTAGGTTTGTCAAATGAAGAGCTGGAATCGTGTGCATTTCCATCCCAGGACACTGTTCCTTTGAGGTATAGATAGGTAGGCAAGTACCCACCTACGTTTACTTCAGACTTTCCTAAATGGCCCTCCACCAGCTGCCTAGCAGGCCAGCTACTCTTCACACAGTTGATGCTGCCTGGTCAGTCATGCCTCTGCTTGGCACCCTCTGCCCAGGCCAATGAGCCCATTTCATGACCTACCTATACCAGCTGGCACAGGAGAACCTCCTGCCACTGGTGTATGGTAAGGGAACCTGGTAGACGGACAGTAACAGCACTGGCTTTCTGCTTACCTTTGAAGGGTCATATACCAATCAATGCACCTTAGTTGCCTTGATTTCTCATTAAATTCCTATCCTGAGGCTTCTCTCCTAGATTCGGTCCCATAGGCTCCTGGCCTCACAGGTATGTAGTTCAGTGATGGGGCCTCAGTTTCCTTCTAAAGTGGGGATAAAACAGTTCCTACCTCACAAGGTGATTGTGAGGATTAAATAAAAACAGTTCCAGATGGTGGTTCACACAGCCTGGCACAAAGTAAGCTGCTGTTCAAGAAAGTAAAGAGGATCACTGCTTTGGCTTCAGGGAGCAGAGCCTGGGATGAGGCAGAGGTGGAGGGAAGAGAGACCATCTGCTACCCTCTTGCCATCTTGAGCCTGCTGTTCCATGGCAGAACCACCCGAGAGCCAGCGGCAGGGGCGAGGGTTGATTGCCCAGCCCAGGCAAGGCTCCTCTCCCTGACAGCTGCTGATGGAGGGTGTGAGGAGGTCTCAGGCCCCTGATCCTTTACCAGCATTCGGCTGGGCCTGGAAGGCTGTGTGCTCCAATCCTCCGGAAAAGGTGAAAGGCCCTGCAGGGAAGTCCTTGAAGACAAAGAGGTTTTGCAGCTGGAGCATCATCAGATTGCCTCTCATGGAGCTTGTTTTTCCTCTATTTTTTTCACCTCCACTCAGTCTTGCTCCTTGCTATGCAAATACAGTCTGGTCTGTGGACTGGCAGCATCAACATCACTTGGGAAATTTGAAATGCAGAATCTTGGGCTCCTCTCCTAAATCGGTATCTGCATTGTAGCAAGAGCCCTGTATGTCAAGAAGCCTACCTATTAGTTGCTTGTCAGTGTCTGAGAAGCACTGGCTGATGAGGGCTCACTTTCCCTCCTAGTCCATCTCCTCACCTTGAGACGACCTCCTCAGGCAGTGCCAATGGGTGGCCCTGGGTGCAGGGGCACTTAGAAGGTATAGTCCCTCCTCTTTGATCCACTGTTATTCTCTAGCTAAGACAGTAACTCCCAAAGTCTGCAGAACTGGCAGAGAAACAATGCAGGAAGGCTTTGTGAAGATCACTTTTTGTGATCAGTGAGAAATTAAGACAGGAGTCCCAAAGATGAGGAAGGTCAGTGGCAGGAGTGGAACATGCTTCGGTTCCCTGAAGGCCCAGGGAAGGGGACGATGTATAATTTATGGCCCAGTGAGAGGCAGGATAGGTTTTCTTTCTGTTTCTGTGGGAGGCAGGCCTGGTGGCTCAGGAGTTTACTCCAAACGCTGGAGGTGCTGGCTTGCCTCCATCCATGGATCTCTATTGCCTCCATTCTTTCATTCCTCTCACTAACACAAGAAGAACCAACTAGAAAATGCTCCAATCTGAGGGTAAAAGTTTCTTGGCTAAGATGCTAATCCTTCGAGAGGG